ATAAATTAGTTAAATGACGAAAAATTAGGTGTCTATTTACTTGTGACAACTCAGTGTACATCACTCGGACTTTTCCGTCGTACGTAATGGTTTTTCTAGATACGATGGTAAAAAGACTCGAGTGATGTTAGGATTAATAAGAGGCAGTTACAAATTTATAATAGAGGGCGTTTTTTCACTATTTCCCCAATATAAAAAAATGTGCATGTAGAACGGTCGTATGAAAAGCAGTTACAATTTTATATGAGGGGTGTCTTTTATTATGACAAAATCTTACTCAGAGAATACAGCAATAATACTTAATTCTATTTTGTAATTTTGCATATACATACATATACTTTTGTAAAGCCTACATTGTACAATAGATGTATTACTTTAACTAAAGGTGCTGCAGTTAAATTGCGTAACCCAAAACTCAGGTTCTGTATCTACTTTTATATGGATCAAGTTAGTCAAGAAGAAAATATTAGATACAAAGACTGAGTTTTGAAATATCTAACCAAAGGTGCTGCAGTTAAATTGCGTAACCCAAAACTCAGGTTCTGTATCTACTTTTATATGGATCAAGTTAGTCAAGAAGAAAATATTAGATACAAAGACTGAGTTTTGAAATACCAAATTCGCTGTAGAAAGTTGTCATAACAGAAATTATGTTTAGATATACACCTTTTATCACGGCGCAGATGGACATGTATTTAACTTCATACAACGAAAATATGTAGAGTTCTTGTTGCTTTTTCGCGCATAATGAATTAGCTCAAGACATGTTTTTTGTTTGATCTTCTCTATAGAAACTTCCTCTTTGTGTACGAAACAAAACTAAATAAATACAATAACTTTCAAGTCTCAAGGGTAATAAAATCTTTCAAAACTTTATGTTGAAGGTAACTACATATTAGAAAATTATTGTAACTTGACGTTTATCTCTTTTTGCGTGTATATCTGACACCAACCAGTAGCAATAAAACACATTTATTCTGTTGTTTACGGTGAACATACAGTCATTGCAATGCTGGTGTATATATATATATTTTATAATTTACTGCTGTTTGGTTTCAGATGTGAGTAACTTTTCTACGAGTTACCCGGAATAACCAAAAGGTAGTTGCCTACGAGTCCACGGTGTCAAAGAGTCTAGAATGGTTACTCTTTCCTTTTCAAATAGTTTACTCAGATATATTTTAAAGTGTGAAATTAGAGTATTTTAAAAACAATTTATTTGGTAAAATGTTGTTTGATGGGAAAAAATTCATGGTCAAATTTAAAAAAAAGGCTCCGAAAAAAAAAGAAAAAAAGAGAGAATCCCACGGAACTGAAGTTTTCTATGGTTCTACTGTTGTCTTTAATTTAGTCTTGGTTATCACATTAAACTTCAGATACATATTTTGTTTCGCTTCATTTGGGTAGTGTCAATCCATACCACTAGATGGCAGCTAATTCGATGACGAGGAACCCACTTT